AATTTAAAATTAATAAAATTAACATTAGTTTAAAATTCATAAAATTAACATTAATTTAAAAATCATAAATGGTCCAATTAAATAGAATTGATCACAACTTACAAGTGTGGTGAATTTATGACTTTTAAATTAATGTTAATTTTATGATTTTATTTTAATTTTATGAATTTAAATTAATGTTAATTTTATGAATTTTAATTTTATGAATTTTAAATTAATGTTATTTTTTTGAATTTAGTGTGGTCCCAATTTTTGGACCATCAAATGCATTAAGATCGATCTCATAAAGTTATGATCGACTCTAATTGAGTGGAATCACAAAAAAAAAAATTAATAATACAATCAATTGGGATTGATCTTAATTAATGTACAATCGATCTTATTTATACTTTCTTGTCACCTCACCCCTAAAGGTTACATCTTTCCAACTAAGAGGAATAATTTTACCTTTTTTCATTATAAGTGTCCCTTTTTAGTCAATAAACTTACCTTTATTTTAATGGGTAACTTTACCTCTATAGGTGTTAACCTTATTTTAACGACAAGTAATCCTACCTCAATCGTTACTAACCTTACATCAACATGTAGTACCCTTACATCAACTTGTTGTAACTTTACTACAAAATGTTTTAACCTCACCCCTGAATATTACAACATCACCTCTCCATGTAGTAACCTAACAACAAGTTGTTATAACCTCACCTATAACGATTATATCTTTCTCACATACAGGAGTAATTTTACCTTTATCCTTTTTAGTCGATCAACATGTAGTAACCTTTCATCAAAATGTTATAACCTCACCCGTAACACTTACCTCTTTGCCACTGATTCGCTTAATTCCACCAATATTTGTAATAACCTTCCCTCCATTATACATAACTTTACCAATTAATGGATAACTTATTTCACATCACCTGTAAACCCAATAGTACAAGTTGTAATCTTTCCTACAAAATTGTAACCTTACTTTTAATGTCCATAACATTAAATCTTAAGAGCAATCTTTATTATGTATGATCGATCCCAATTTCCCATTCCCCCCATAGGAAAGACGCTCCCCCAGTAAATTTGTAACATAAGTACAAAGAAAAAATGTAAATTAGATCGATCGTGTGCATGTCCGATCGATCTTAATTTTCCTTAGACAATTTTTTTTTGAAAGGTGAAAAAAAAAATATAATTTCAATAGAATACAAAACTAAGATTTTGAACAAAAAAAAATAAAAAAATATACCGAACTAAGATCAATCGTGTGCATGTCCGATCGATCTTAATTTTCCTTACATAATTTCAATAGAATACAGAACTAAGATTTTGAACAAAATAAATAAATAAATAAATAAACCGAACTTAGATCGATCATGTGCATGTCCGATCGATCTTAATTTTCCTTACATAATTTCAATAGAATACAGAACTAAGATTTTGAACAAAAAAAAAATTAAAAAAATATACCAAACTAAGATCGATCATGTGCATCGGGATCGATCTTAATTGAGTAGAATCGCAAAAAAAAATTTGGCATTAGGATAGATCCTAGATAATCATGATAGATCTTAATTGAGTATAATAGCAAAAAAAAAAAAAATGGCATTGGGATAGATCCTAAATAATCATGAGAGATCTTAATTGAGTGGAATGACAAAAAAAAAAAAATTGGCATTGGGATCGCTCTTTAATTAGTCATGATCGATCATGACTATTAAATATAACATTATTACTTGCAAAGACAAAGTTACTACTTTTGAAAGTGAGGTTATAACTATTTAGGTAAGGTTACAACAATTAAAACTTAAATTACAATCTTTGAAAGTTAGGTTACTACCTTTAGATGTAAAGTTATAACTATTTAAGGTTAAGTTACAAGTAATAAAAGTAAAAGTACCACCTAGATGTGAGATGAGGTTGCCACGTCTTAAGGTGGATTTACCATCGCCTTTTTCAGCTGCCTTTTTTTATTCACCATGGCCCACCACAAACCAGGCGGTACGGTACCGAAAAACCATTATTCGGTACCATAGACTCTCCCTAATTTTTGTAACACACAGTTCTAGATAACTACAAACTATATAGACATACCAATAGCTCGATGATACTACCGACTAGCTAAAAATCAACATCAGGTCGCGGAATGGTGGTCCGATAAGTAGACGAGTAATACATCGATACCACTCCATTGATGGATGAGTGGCATCCATCATGTCGAGGGTAGGCTCGCCATGAACAATAGAATCTTGCCGCTGCTCGCACATGGTGATGTAGCACTGATGTGCGGTCGTCCAATCATAATTATATCTGTCACGTCTATTTGTGGCATGCAGCTCCCTACTGGAATCACAAGCCACTGGTATCGGCTATCTGCATCCAAATTGTCAGAGAACAGGGTCAAAAAAATGCCACTCCACCACATCAAAACAAATGAGTGGTGCCCGTGTAGTCCATAAGTCTCGACCCCTCAAGCAATAATCTGGTAGGCTGGCCAACACATCCACAATGAAAGGTTGTCATATCATCTGCAGTATAAGAATGGTAAGTGTTGTTAGATTTTGACAAAAATAAAAAATTTCGGCAGAGTTTTCCCTCTAAGTATGACCCCAAAAAATGCCACAAACATCCACCAATCAACTCATTCACCAACTCAGTGTAAACATCCAATAACCCACCAACAACACAAATAACTACCAAATGTATGTCTAATTGTTGGTATACCAGCTCATCACGCATTTGATCAAGCTGGTCTCTGTAATGTTTCAGAGCATGCTTAGGCGTGTGTTGCTCAAAAAATGCAGTGTAACACCCCAATCCCAATACACTATTATTATGAAAATAAAATATAGGCAATCCTGCTATTAATAAAAATATTATAATATAATATTTAAAAAAACCAATCCTAGAAATATTTATCTTAGGATCACTTTTTAAGATAAAGTCATACGTGTGCGGCATACAGGCCCACTACCATGTAGGATATAAATATTCCAAAAATATATACAAGTGTTTCTCACATGCCAAAACAAAAATATTGACATCATGTATAATCCAAAAAGTTTTGTTTTTTTTTTCTTTACAAAAAAAAAAAACATAAGACGTAAGAAACTGACACGAGCTCTTCCCGACACTACTGACTGGACTTCTAGTTGCTGCAGTGGACTGCAAGCTTGTGTATATTTCAAGCAAATTTTTGAGTGTGTTCTCATTAGTGATTTCAGAGATAGAGCAAAGAAAATAATATAATGTCCTTACTTATTTATGGAATTTTAATATTCGTATTTCCATAACTTTCTCAAAATTCTATTTCATTGCGTTATGATTTCACACAGACATAACCGTCTTGCCACTCAGGCGACAAAACACCACACAATAATATTCGTGATTCCTTAACTTTTGTCGAAATTCTATTTCATTGCGCTACGGTTCCACACATAAATAACCGTCTTAGAACCCAGGCGACAAAACACCACACAAATTTATCACCATATCAGTATACGATCGTCACTCAGACAACTTAACAACATGTATCATTTTCTCGATATTATTTTTTTTTTGAAAAAATCACATCACATCAGAAAAAATTTAGCTTTCGTCGCTTAAACGAAATCAACTTGAACTTATCTCAATCACGAGGACAAACATGAACACTTGGGTTACTTTTACTCACATAGACATCACAGTCTAACAATTAGCTTTCTTTCCGCTTGTCACATAGACAACTAAACCATAATATTATAATCTGTCACAAAGACGTCTTATTCCCATCGTAACCTTAGAACACTTAAGCCATTTATTCATAATAGAACTCATAAGCTAGATAGTCACATAAAAAAAATCAAACATTTACGCGTAGATAAAACCAAATGTTAGCGTACATATGTACTTTGCTAAAAATTTATCGTGTTGATGACTCCTCCGCTGGGGCTTTTTGAGCAGCGTTCTTTATGGTGCTCGTCCCTGGACTTGACACCCATTATTCAAAATCTCATTCGAGTATTAATAAATAATGTTGTTTTACTCGAATTGGTTTACTCAAAGCAAATTTCTTAATTTAATCATGTCACATTCAATAACTCATCCACATCTAGTAATATCAATTACTCAAACAAATTAAACTAGTAGTTATAATCAATTTGAGTCATATGAAAATAATCCCTTCACAACGAATAAGATTACCTACTCGAATCCATTACATCCAGAGTAAACATTTCTCATAAAATTATAGTAACCAAAATGTAGTTAAATCTACATAATTTCCCAATAAAATCATAAAATTGCATGAATATGTCATACCCATGAATTTCATAAAAATTCAAGAACAATTAATAAAATTTCTAATTATAAATACCCAATAAAATCACAAAATTGCATGAAAATTTCATACCCATGAATTTCATGAAAACTCAAGAACAATTAACGAAATTCCTAAGTACCCACCACACTTCAATTTTTTTTTACAACAATAGTAACTTAATTTACACGTCCACATAAATATCAAGATGTAACCTTCATGCATTAATCAAATCTCATACCCAACATCATACATCAATATACAATATCAAAACACATACAAAATACCATCTTTGTACTCCCTAGTTTATTTATGTTTATACATGTAATCTTTACACATATTTATTATATACATACATATATACAATTATATGTATGCACCCACTTTTTTTTTTTCCTTGTATACATATTTATACACAAACATGTATATACATATATTCAAATTCTTGACAATCTATTAAATTCGTCTTTAGGACCCTTAACCATTCCTTGTATATACTAATACATGTTATTTCATTATTATTATTATTTTTTTAACAATAAATTGATGTCACATATTTGTCACCCGATTAATTCCACATGCGCTAATGTACATAAAATAATAAAGTAATATCATTACTCATAATTAAATACTAATCGTCAATCCTACGCATGCATGTCAAATGTGAATATGCTTATGACAAATATTATATACTGGTCATGCGTGTTCGGGTCTTTCATGCAACATCCCAACTGCATAGCAAAAGAAAAAATGAGTTACATATGACATTAGTTGGCAATACGTACTAGTAATAAATAATGAACCATACAACTCAAATATTGTCTTACCTACACCCACGAGGCCCTGTAGGAAGGTCATCATGTGCTGCGACATGTGGTGCAGGATCATGTGCCGGTGTAGGTGCAAAACCATCTGTTGGGCCGACCTCCACATGTGCATCTGCTTCATTTGGTACTGCATAAGGTAATGGGTCACGTGGGAGTAATTTTTGTGGCCGACTGTGTGATAAACGCTCCCATGCCCACAACTGTATAAATATACGAAACAAGTTGTAATAGAACACGTATGTTAGACATTACATTAAACTTAAAATAACAATAGTATGAACATGAAACAGATGTCTGAATTATACCTGCACTAGAACAAGTAAGTCGTCGATATCCTTAGCATCGTGTCTAGTAACGACACATATCTTGCGGTATAACCATGCCAATGTTGTGCTGCCCCAACTATACTGACCGACAGTGGTAAGATCAGTAATTAATGGCAGGTACATCAGCTTCACCTTGCTAGATGACTTGTCTATGAACAAATATGAATCGATCAATAGCATGATGTATGCTCTGATATAACAAGCTATGAAAGCATCTTCAGCATCTACAGAGACGCCACCGTCCAAATGACTGCGCAGGGCAGTAAGCCGGAGGAATGACCCATCTATAGTCCCTGGGGTAGGGGTAAACCCAAGCAACTCCTGGCATAGTGTTGGTCATGTCGTGCCATCAAGACAACTATCCCTCCCAGACACTGCCATACCATCAATTGGTAGGCCTATATGCACTGCGACATCCTAGAGGGTGATAGTGGCCTCACCCATAGGAAAATGAAATGTGTGCATCTTAACACGCCATCTCTCAACTAGTGTCGTGATGAGATCCTAGTCCAACTGCTTGGATGCAATCTTGTGCAGCCCGTAAAAACCAACAGTAACCAAATGACGAAGAACACGCTCATCGATCACATGTAACTGTTGTGCGGTGCACTTTCTGCACCTGCAATGCAATAAATTGGGATCTATGCCTTGCCATATGTACTCTTATCGATGCTCTGCCTGTAACGAAAGAACAGAATGGTCATGTGGACTAGGATGCACTAAATGACTACCATCAGTGTCCATAGCCAAAGCTAAATTAATCTAGAAAAACCAAAATACAATTATGGATTATTATAGCTGACATCTACAATCATATATTGATAAAGGTAACATTTCTAACATCCAACATAGCATCATGATATCATTTCAACAAACATGTACTTATAAGCCTATGTTCGTATGAATTCATTACGATATAACCACATCGTAAGGTTTAATATACACTTGAGTAAAACATTAGACAACTTAACAAGCTCACAAAATAACTTGGGACTATCTAGTGAAAGGATGATGGAGCTCGCGTGTTTATGGATGAACACTTCAAACAATTATGACCTAATTCGCTGCATAGGCCATAATGTGTCATATTACAACCCCCTGACGGGAAGTCTATCTCATTTCGTATGTGCATTGTCCATGGCTGACCAACCACGTCTCGACATTGGTTAAGATTAGGGAGTAATTTGGGACGCAGAGGATCATCCCAATAATGCTCATTTTCAAGAGGATACATTTCAGGCTACCAAATTTTTGCCTAAGTGTCGATGTTGTATATGAGATCTATGTACAATTGAAAATGCAATTGAAAATGAGGGAATACAACCAATATATGAGAGTAATGAATTCTATAAATTGCCCATTTTCTTCATGTGCACGAACGATCTTCAAGACACACAACTTGTTTCTGACCATTGTCAGTCACCACTTCAGCAAGACCACGCACCCTATGAAATGGCGTCACTTCGTGGACAAAGTTCATTTGCTGTGCATATTGTACATGTTCCACAACACGCTTAGGGAACTCTAACTAGGCTTGTCAAAATCAGACACAATATGATTAACCGACACGAATTGACACAAATTAAGCAAGTTTAAGTGATATCTTAACGGGTTTGGGTGATAAATGAGTTGACCCGCCAAACACGTTTAATAAACAGGTCATATTCAGGTGAGACCTATCAACCGTTTATCACATGTTAATCCGTTTAAATAAAATTAATATAATAATTAATTAATAATTATTTAAAAAAATTAGCAAGAAAAAAAGAAGAACAGAAATCAATACAAAAAAAAGAAAAAGTAAAGTAGTAATTCAAAGACAAAGGAGAGGAGATGGGGAGGGCTGAGTTGCCTATAAAAAACAATGCCCTCTTGCCTTTTTTTTAAGCCTTCAAGTCTGATTTTTATGTGAAATTTGGCTAAAAATTCCTCTTTTTTGAGGTAAGTACAACTGACAATAAAGAAAGTGAAGCATTAAAATTTATTTATATATATATATATATATATATATATTTTTAAATTAAACGGGTTAAACGAGTCGTATCGTGTTACCTGTTTATTAAACGGGTCATGTTCGTGTTGAGATTTTTCACTCGTTTATTAAACGTGTCATGTACGAGTTTACATATTTTTCACCCGTCACCTGTTTAACCCGACACGTTTGACACCCCTAACTCCAACCCATTTTCTTTCCATTTGGTCTCATTATCTCGATGTTCAAAATGATACTTAGTGACCCAATAAAATATCGATTGCATATAAGCAGTTATGGGCAAATACCTAGTACCTTGAAGAACACTATTAAAAATCTCAGAAATGTTCGTTGTCACTATGTCATATCGTCGTCCACGATCATGTACTAATGTCCACTTCTCTAATGGTATATCATTCAAATACGTAGCCACTTCCTTTTTGACATTGCTTATCTAGGCCATCAACTCATTGAACTTTCGAGCATGTATTGCCTTGCCAACCCTCCACATAAGATCGTACAAATGCCCATCCTTAAACAGTGTATTAAAATTATTACGAACATGCCAAAGACAAAAGTGACGATAAGCATATGATGGATGCCACCCAGAATCTTCCATGTTCACAGCAGAAAGAATCGTCGCGTGCCTATCAGAAATTAAACATATCCCTTGCCGAAGTCTAAGAACTATCTGCCGAAGGTAATATAAGAAAAAAAACTCAACTTGATTGATTATCCTCTTCCACAGTAACAAATGCAATGGGAAACAATTGCTTTTTTAACATCAAAATCAATCACTACTAACACCTCTCCCTTGCACTTCCCATACAAAATGTCCCATTAATACTGACAACAGGTCGACAATATTTAAACCCTTTAATGCTGGTCTTGAATGCCAAAAATACTCGAAAAAAATATTGTATTTAAGATATTTATAGTTGTACCGCCACTTCACAATCGAGCGAGGGTTATACTTCTTGATGGCACCCAAAAAACGTTGGCAACATGTCATACGACGAGTCTCAATCACCGAAAAATATTAGAAATGACCTTGTTCCTCGCAATCCATGCTTTCTTGAAGGAAATATCATACTTAAACTTCTCTTTTATATTCTTCTGAATTGCTGACTTTTTTGTTTGTGGTGTATCACCAACCAGTCCCAGTATATTATGACATATGAAGTCAGAGCTGCCGATGGTCACGACTCATTCGAGGGTAGAAGTAGGTAAGAGGTCCATCATATTTTGTGATCTGAAATATTTTGAGTTTTTTTTCCTAAAACAGGCATGTAGTCTCCACGTGCAATTAGACTGCATATACATGGTGCATTGTACAACCCACGTCATTGTGTTCGTCTTGACTACGACATAATCCTGATTTAGCTTTGATTGAATATCATTTAACTATCCTAATCAATGAAGCTTTATCTTGAAAAATCATGCCCTTCGCTAACTCCATCTTCATCGGATCTCACAAATTCATTTCATAAGACAGTACAAAGATATCTGCTTCAGAATGCTGACCAAATTCAATGGTTGTGAAGGAGGTGGAGTAAGGCTTATGCATCCGAATAGCCAATGGGCCAGCCTCATTGTCTTCACCATTCCCATCTTTGTCATCCGGCTCAACAATCATTACTTCCTCAAACTCTTCTTCTTCTTCTTCATCATCGGAGACATCTGTACGATCATTTGCACACATTTCTTCATATTCCCAAATTGGGGTTTGTTGCATTATTAGTTGATGGACATCATCTTGTTCACCCAACTCAATTACCTGCCTCACCCATTTGAAAATTATGACTCAGTGAATTATTGACTAAGTACCCACCGTATGTTGCAGAGCTAGTTCTTTGTTAGGTGTACGAGCACTGCCCAGACTCATCCATTACCTGCATCCCCATGAGAGTTGAATAGTCACCTGTCACCCATCACCCTAGAAGTTGAAAATGTCAAGGTACTCATTTCTCGCTTAAGCAACTCAGTGTAAGACATGACAGTGGTTGCTATGCACCCTCCGGTCTTACTACTGCCTATGCCAGCATTAATGTCCGTTGTCTCCAAGTACAAAGCAACACTAGCAATGATGGGGTTGTCAAGTGGTTAATATTAACCACAGAATTCACAAGTTCATCATTCACAATTTTCAGACCGACATATGTATTCATGTTTGGTCCTGTTCCAAGTGTAAATGGATATCTACACTTCAACTTGTTATGCACCCTGTCCAACCCCATTATAGTATAAATTTTACTCTACAACTCTGGTAGTTGTGTGCCACTACTAATAACAATTCCACCTTTGGGAGGATAATTGTATGATAAACTCTCCGATCCATATTCCATTCGTCCACCCCAATATAGCAAAACAATTACTTGTTTTCCCGCCATTTCAATTAGTTTCCGTTGTGGAATAAGTTCTGAATTCATAAGAACCTAGAAATAGATAGAAAAGGTTAATATTTGAAGAAGAATAGATTCATAGTTAATCAAAGTCCCATGAAATTTAATGCATGCGACATACAAGAATTGATAAAATACGAAAACCTTAGGGTTGGAAGTATCAAACAAGCAAACAAACAAACTGGGAGATCAAACCAATACCATGAACTTTGATACAAATAGTGACATTGGTGGTGCTTGCTGACTAAGAGACAAAACAACAATGTTATTACTGAGATTGAGAGAGTGAAATGGTGTTGGAAAATTGGGTTGCTTGGACATTTATGAAAATTTTATGGAACTTTAATCATATACGAAATCTTAAACAATTTACAAAAATGTTGGTTCAATTGATGTTTTACATCGTGAGCAGAGATTTAGGTCATCTTAAAACTACTATCACAGAACGGAAGGAAAGCTTAGATCTTACTAAAGGGGTGGTTTTCCTTTTTTTGATAGGCTTTTATGGGAGCTATATGTTCTTTTCATTTTTTCAACATATGAGAACCTTTCTATTATATCAAAAAAAATCCAAGTCCAATATATTCAAGAGACATGGCCAATCCAAAACGTTATAAACATAACAAAAAAGATAGATTTATCTTATTCACAAAACTCATTAAAGTAAACAAAAAATTTCAGTTCAATGACTAACAACCGCAACAATAAACATTAGATACTATTCATAATTTTGCTTGATCTATTCAGGTGTAATGCACATCTACTCATCCTAGTGCTTAAAAATACATCTTTTTATTATCTATCAGTGAGAAATTAAGCATCCAAAACTGCAGACTATAAAAAATAAAAGATATATTTTTAACTTCAAAAATGCAAGATGTTTTTAGTAAGATGTTAAACTCAATTATCTCTTGTTTTCCTAAATCCTATATTTTTCCTATTTCAATTCACGTTGTAATGCAAAGGACCCATCTTGGCTGCCTAGACAAACTAAGCCTATTAATTCTAAATACAATTCTAAAACCCAGCACAAAATCAATACAGAATTAGATGAATTTAAGTTGAATATTTGCGGGTTCAAATAATAAGCAAATTAACTCACCGAATCTGTCATGTAAATGGATTGATACTAATCCAGTTAAATAAGACAAAAATCTTACTAAATAAGACTTATAGATGATATAAACTCTAATATCACTAGTTTGAATTTCAAATATCAAGGCTCAATAGATAGATCAAAAGATGTTATCTCCTCATGATCTTCTTCTCTTATCAGGATAATTAATGTCTAGATTTATAGTTATTGTTCACACACTCATCAAATGAGTTTGCATACGTTTTGTACTTTTAACTATAAATAATGAATACACTGACTCTCTCACACTCACTATGAGATAGATTTATTCTCAAAGTCTTTAAACTTGACATGATATGAAATTTA